CCGTAATCTTCCACAACATGTTATTGAAAATGTCCGTCAGGAATTTGAACATCGCCTATATCATTGTTTGGCCAATAACGGGCAACATTTTGAACACTTATTGAAATGAAAAGTTATATTTTCGTGTGTTACTTTTTCCTATCTGAACAAATTGAGATGAATAAAGATTTTTCTAATCATCTCGAGAACGAATCGACCGATTTTAAAACATCAAACGCCACAATGAAGAAATTAAAAATACCTTTCAAATGAGCTATCACTCGATACCCCTTACCATTTGAGGTTTTTAGGGGGGTAGCTCCTGAGGGCAGGGGGTAAAAGGAGGCGAAGCAATTTTTGCTTAAAAAGTTGTCCCCCTCGATAATTTTTTTTACGTATTTCGGCGATTTTTTTAAAACCTTCATGTTTCGAGGAATTCGAGGTGGGAAGTTTTCAAATGAACACCCTGTATAAACGACGTGACACGCAATGTGTTGATACATTTCAATACTCGTTTATTAGGACAAATACTTATATGAACCATGAGAAAAGGCGCAATACTTTTGATATATTTTGCCGACGTTCCGAAGTTATTCGCAAGTGTTTAGAACCAGGGTCAGACTGAATTTGTTTACTCAGAAACAACATAAAATAATTATGATTCCAGTTACCTGAATTATATTATCTATATAGGTATATGGTTTGTTTTCTTGCCTACGAGTGAGCTACTGAGTGATATATAAAGTCAAGGAGAAACAACTGTAAATGTGTTTATTTAATTCACAACTCTCATCATCATCTTGTTATACCACAAGAACAGAGGGATGCCAAATATTTGTGATTTGTTTTCCTGAAAACCGTTAGGTACATCATAAGATTCAGGAGGGAATATATCGGAAATAACGCTGCCAATTCGAACTTATACAAATTCATTTCTAAATAAATTATATTCAATGGTTCAATTCATCTACTTCATCGTTGAAATTAGGGCCCACTTCAATATAATCTGCCAAATTGATGATACATTGATTCTGACCGTTCAGATGGGTAGCACACAGATTTCTATAACAAATATTCTTCGAATGTCAACATTTTCTTCCTTTCCCTAAGCCAATCGGCAGCACTGATATTTTCCATTTATGTGGTTATTAAAGAAATTACTTCAGGAGGAAATTTGGGAATATATTCTTTCTACGGATTCTTCTCTTCAATTATCACCAAATTTATTCGTTAGGATTGATAATACAAAAATATGGAGGCAATCTGAGAGCCGTATGATATGTTTGTTTGGCAAATTCGTCTAGGACATATAGGTACTTCCTTGAACTCTTTAACGTTCAAAACCTCAAGTAAATGGGCTTTGGTGTATTTTTGTTCTAAGAATATAAATATCATGAGTGGGTGAAAAATCTTGGATTTCTTTTTACGATCAGCAATTTTTGAAATCTTTTCCTTGAGTCTAGTAAGACTGGATATCAAATCCGTCCCTGAAAATCGAGCCGATATCTCACCAATCAGTGACTATAGTCTATTTTGGCTATAGGAGAGATATTGGCAACGTTATGGTTTGAAACCAAAATATTAAATATTCAGCACAGTTCACGAGAAGCTACGACAAAAAGTTAGTCATTTCCATTTTCTGTTGTGACGAAATACTGGAAACAGGTGGTTGAAAACTGGGTAGTTGACTGATAGTGAACACTCATCAGTATGTATCAATTGAAACGTATATGTCGATATATATACAGTGTGTTTCCGAAATTGAAGCGATGCATGATGTGATATAAGACGAAACGAAACTGAAGTATGGATACAAGTACAAGAGTATTTGGGATGATATTACATTTTGAAGTTCCCTGGAATATTTGTGAATCATTGATTATAGGTAAACAGCCGAACCTGAGTGTTTGCTTTCAATGAGGTCAGAAGCATCGCAAGTAACAATTACGTTTGCAATATTGACCAACATTGATTAACATGGATTGATCGTAAATTTTGCTTTCGCTCGGATTCGCTAAACGGTCCGCCTCGCAAATGCAAAATTCGCTTGTCAAACAAAGTGTCACTTTTGATCCCAATAAAACAATCTACTATTTTTGGTCCTAGGAGTCCAACTTCAGCTCCTACGGAATAAAAGGGTTGCCTAGCAACATAGGTATTAGAGACATTCACTGCAAGAGCTAATTTTGGAATTGAAATAGACGACTTTCAAGTCTCTTGCAGAAAAACTGTATTTTTTGCTACCGGTGATAAAACCGCAGAATTGTCAAACTCGATTGATGGGATGTGATATTTTCTTGAAATTCAAAGAAAAAAAAATGAATTAGTTGAGATTCAGGATTATTAATACCTAGTATATCCTATTTTGTGAAAGTGAAACTCGAAATTATTTCATTCCACTCTTTATGAGAATGTGAAATATGTCATAAGCCATAGATTAAAGGCTTCATCAATCTGTGAATGAGGTTTTGAGTAATATTTCCTTATCTCCTGTATAGGAAAGAGGGATGGGCACGTATTGTTTGTCGGTTCAACGTGAAAGAGACCTGCCTGTCATAAGAATCATCTCGTTATTCATGTTGTATTCTTTGTGTTTCTTATATCTATTTGTTAGACATACATGAATCCAATAATTCATTGTCTACATCAACAAGTAAAGAGAAAAAACTCGTGGTAATCACTATCTGAAAGTAGACAAATGATTTTTTCTACAAGCGTGCGTGATTCACCCTATACCCGCACGCAATTTAGTTTGGAAAGTGTCATTTTCCCGCAACACTGCGGGAAAATTTTCCCACACTAGTGCGGGAAATTTTTTCCCGCACTAGTGCGGGAAAACAAAGATATGATGAAATCGCTAGTAATATAAGTGGTTGGTGATGGAATATAAAAGTTTAAGTTTGTTTGTTGCAGTATTAAGTATGTATGTTCAGAATCATCCATCAAATTGCACAATTTATTGTAAAAATTAAGAAATATTGAGAAATAAAAATTGATTATTATAAAAATCGCCCTATAGATTTGGATTGATCTGACGGGAAACGTCAATTTGTCATGTCAATCAAACCTCAAATAAGTTTGAAATTGTCGAAGTGACAGACACAGCGTTACTGTCATTTTCGATTCAGTGGAAATGCCACAATGTGATCAAAAACTTCTAGCTATAGGGATTTGATACAGATGCGTTATCACCAACGAAGTCTTAAGAAAGGTATGAGAAGCTATACACGCGTTTTATTGAATGTTGCAACAATAAAGAAATGAAAAAACCGAATGAAGAATAGGTATTTTTGGCTCATTTCATAGAAGTGTCTGGAACCTAGAGACCAAACTCCTAATGGGCCTGCTGGCTTCCGCAATGAACCAACATAATGCGTCAAACTGTAAGTTCACACTAGCTATTACTGATAATTAATAAATAGAGAATATATATCTCTTGTTAGTTGTTCCTATTTGCTTGAATAATTAATTGAACGATTCAATCAATTTCCTATACGCTTGTAGAAAAAATATTGTTCCTAACTTATGCGGAAAGTTTCTTTCCCGCACTCGACTGCTTGCCCGAACTCCGCTTCGCGTCGTTCGTGTCAACGGCAGTCACGTGCGGGAAAGAATCACTTTCCGCACTTATTAGGAAAATTACTATTAGTGCAAATGATACCAGTTGCGGTTAATACTATTTCAGATTCTACGTTAGTTGGTATTATTGTTGAAGGATCATATGAAAGCCGAACATACGTACCGCTGATGTCACTATATTCGAGAAAAGCCTCTCCTACCTATTTATCTACAATTGATTGAGATAGTTTTTCATAATTATTTTGGCACACGAATCGTGTTTTTCGAATATCCATTAATTCGCGCATGACATCAAATTGTGATGTTGTACGATTTACAAAAAATGCAGCAAGAGATGAAGGAATCCGGTTGGTACATTATGATTCAAAATTGAGTATATCTACTATAGTCACTCACATATAGTTATTGTTTTGAAATTTGGTAATTTCTCATCGGAATCCCTTCTGCAATAGAAGCTAATAAAAATACTCATGGAATCTTTGAATGAATGCAAGAAGATTAGATTCATTGAGGGATTCATACAATCAAACTGGTCTGACATGCTGACGAAATATGATCGTGTGTGTTGTAGACCTTTTCAATCTATCAGCAGTATGAGCTGCTATTGCAGAAGTGGCAGAAGGAATTTTCATAAGAAATTACAGAATTTCATGATAAAAACTATGTGAGATTACCATTTACATAAAAAATCACGTTCCTTCGTCTCTCGCTGAATTCTTTGTGCATTATACAACAGCACAATGAGAAGGCATGCTTGTATTAATGATTAGCGCAAAAAACACGATCATTTTGCCAAAATTGTGAAGAACTATTTCAATCCTGTGATTACTCTGTCATCGTGCATGCGACCTATACTCGCAAGAAGATTTTTATCTTTCTCATCAACTTTTTCATTAATTGCCTCTGGAACTATTCGGAAACGCTGATTTTCGGCCACTCCCGAACGTCGATATAAATTGAAACTCCGCACACTTACCAAGATCCGAAGTTATCGATTAAAATGGTGGATGATGTTCCGCCACCAAAAATTCGAAATGCTCCTTCACCAGAAATGCAAATGTTCGTTTATCCTTGGAATAAAAGATACGGCATTGTCCTATGATATAAAAAGAAGTAACATCCAGAGAGACGGTAGTGTCTTGCACCAATTACTCTCACGAATTAGAGTTTCCGGAGAGGGAGCCTGATAATCCAAATCCAAGGAAGGAAAAACATTTTCCAGTGTAGATGATTACATGCTCCTTTACCCAGGAGGAGCAAGAAATTTCCGGAAATTTGTTACTATAGTAACGAAACAGAATATACGATTCAATTGTTAGAGAATATTAGGTGTGGAATTCTCAGTGAAATTTTAACTTCAATCTGATATATGTTATGACATAAATTCAAATCTTTCCACTGTACTCATTTTTCGAAATTCAAAAATATTCTTTTTGTTTCAGTATTAGCAAAGAGTCTGAAGCTTCAGAGGATAAGAGGAGAAGATGGAGTCATTGAAGTTCAGTGCATCGCAGAAGGAGTGTTTCCTATGCCACAAATGACTCTGAGTTCTCTAAAGAGGTGAGTGATATAACGGTGACTCGATGACTCTTGACGAAGGAATTAATTGTGTTTCGGGAAGTACACTGGAATGATATGTCGAGATGAGGAGTGTTTGTGATAATATTGACCCACAATTTGAGGAATTTTTTATTCACGTTCACTGGTCAGAAACTTGACTATAGTTAGGTATCGGCGTCAGAAAATTGATCAGTTAGGTGCCTCTACTATGTCAGAAACTGATGTAGTCAAGGGTTGCATAAGATCTGCTCTAGATTCATTTAGATAATGAAATTGAAATGATAAATGAGACTCAGAATGGTTCAATCAGAACATATACACACATTCATTTTTAGAATGAATAGCAATAAATAAGAACTTTTCAGGTCCGATTCCTTGGGTATAAATAATCGTAGTTTCATTATGATGATCATACATCAGAAGTCGTTAATCTATGTGATGATACAAAGTGTGACTGGTTCAATGGGACAAAAGTTGCGCAACCAGAGCAGCCTTCGAAAATTTTCAAAATCATTTAGTTTTTCATTTATATCGAAAAAAGTTCGATATTGTTTTTTCTTTCGTTAAAAGAGTTATGAACAATCTGAAAATATTTAAGATTTTTTTCATCTCTACGGTCCTGATTACGTGTTCACAGATTCCCAAAGCTTTTGTTTTTCTTGAATGAAGAAATATACTGTTTATGTTCAGAAAAATGAATAAATTCCAAGAAAAGAAGCAAGCAAGCCGATTGATCTGAGACAAGTGTATATTGCTCTATTCAATTGAAAAATTATTGTACGAAGTAATTTAATTTCAAGAAAATTGATTTGTTTGATCGAAGAAATTCTTTCTATCTGTGCACGTTCTTCAATGCTGATTGCCAAATGCATACAACATATATTCAATTTATTTATATCCATGGCAACGAATGTCCTAGCGGATGAGTTGATTCATTATTGCTAAGTCAACAGGAGAATTTATGCTGCTGGCTGAAAACTTTATTGAGTCCTTTGCCCGATGTTGCTGGCTCGTTCAAGTTTCGTGAATTTCAAAAGTAATTATCTGCATATCTCAACACTTGACTGCCAACTACAAGATAACTCGTATTTTACTTCTGAAATCCAATGCCTATACTACGAATTATCTCGTACTTAGCAGTGTCATATTGCCCGTTACGAGTTATTTTCCCAGCAAAATTGTGAAGATATACAGGGTGTTCCATAATAAGCCTGCAAAATTTCACCAGTGGCTTCTAAAACCAAAAATAGGTAGGAAGTGTCCATGAAAAAGTGTCGAAGAATGGCTCCTAAGGCAGCTATGCCCCCCCCCCTCAAATTGGGCTCCTGAAGATGATATTTCCTGAATATTTCCGAAACACCATGTGATAAAATAATGCAATTTGATAAACGAACTAGACTTTGTACAGGGTAGGAATACTTCAAATATTATTAAAACATTTTTGTTTGCAGATTTTTCGATGAATCAATCCTGGATTATGAAAATCTACACCTCTTCACAGATAAAAGGTGATCTTATTTCGCATCGATCAGATGTATCATTTTCGAGTAAAATCCATTCAAAAACATTTTTACATTTCACACATTATGAAAACGTTACCCATTTTCAAATTATTGTGACTATGAAACAAAATAAGTCCTTTCTCTTCTTCAAACAATTTCGTATAGGCGCGGGCAACAGGAAGATTGATTGAAACCTTTTTCTATGTTTGTTTTCTTCATAGTCACTCAATTCATCGCAATAATACGAATGATGTGTGAGATGTAACCATATGTTTGAATCGATTTAATCCGAGAATGATACATCTGATCGATACGGAACAGAAGCACATTTTTTTTTTCGAAGAGTTGTAGATTTTTATAATTCGAGTTTAAATTGCCGAAAATTAGGCATACAGAAAGTTTCAGGTAATATTCAATGTAGTCTCACATTCATAATACATACTCCTGAAAAATATTTTGGATTTTGGATTTTATGTTCACTGCATTTGGAATAGGAAGTTTAGTTCTTGTGCCGTGAAAATATTGAGAAAATAATGGAAATATATCGAATTGAACCTATTCTGACCACTTGGTATGTGAAAACTGTAAATCTTTGAACATAATACAAGAACTGAATTATATCATGAAAGGGTAGGTAACATTGAAAGAAATTGATTGCGAAAATAATACTCATTGTGTTCAACCACAGAGTCATTGACAATGATAATAATTTGAGAGTGGTTCACAAAGACAAAATCTATTAGCTGTTATACGAGATCGTATAGCCTTCAAAGGTTGATATAAGAGATGAAGAGTTTTTCAAATCAGACAAAAAGAAACTAGCCCTCGACCTTCTTGTGTATATAGTAACCAAAAATACACCCTGTACATTTGAGTCAGCATTATTCCTTTTCATTCACGTACCATAAAACCGAATGCCACCACCAACGTAAAATCCATCATTGAACTCCCAAGTTAAAGAAGAACTCATAAAAACCTTGTTCCAAGTCCTCGGGAAAGTTATTCGATGTTTTCCACTCTGGAAATCCAGTAAATCGTGGAATTCCTCGCTCTCCAGTGGCAATATTTTCGGTGCGGGAGAATCCTTGCCACGTCCCGTTTTTTCAGAAGAAACAATCGTCGGTGTGTGAAAAGATAAGGACCATTCTGGTTACTAGGGGAGTGAAAAACATAATATTACGTGATGTTTATCAGTTTGGATGGAAAAATCAGATGACTGATGATTATACCTACTCTTAGGATTTCTCAGTAGGTCATATTGAAGTATACAAAAGGAGGTAAACAGTGTCTGAACAATCCCAGAAAGGACCCCGCACATTCAGTACGGAAATTGACTTTCGAGTAATTTTTCTGAGAATTTGATATGTTCCAGGTATAAGCATCCTTGATACACAGCCCAAATTACAGATCGATCCTATGACCAGTTTTCGAGCTACAGGGTGTCAATCATTTGTTCTTGACTGTTTAGAATATTTTGCATCGATTTGAATTATTTGCTCTGAGTTGTGATAAATCTTCAGTTTCCATTGACAATTGGTGACGTTGGCAATCAAATGAACTACAGGATGTTTTCATTGCTTCTTGTTCAGTTAATATAGACAGAACATGGTATTCACTAATGAAATCTGAACATGAAAATGGTAAATTCAAGGTTGATTAATTAATGAAAACATCCTATAACTCATTTGATTGCCAACGTCACCAATTGTCAATGAAAACTGAAGAGCTTCAAGACAGATACGACTTTGCTATTGGAATAATCATTTCTTATGTTGAAAACGGGAGCAGAATCGGTCCCGGAACGTAAGTGAAAATTTGATATTTGTTCGATATACCTTTATTTCTCTTTTCCAAACTTTTTTCGATACAAATTGTCACTGACAAGCTAGTGAATTTTTCTTTTAGGCTCTCTGATCAGAAAATTCTTCAAACGCAGTGACATTTTGGAGCAAATCATCTGATTTGTCCTTACTACACGTATATTGAAATAATATCCATATTTTTATTTTATAGAAACGAGGAGAGATAATCCCAAAAAATTTGGAATAATGAACAATATTCAACCTGAAACTAGAACATTCTGGATTTTTCTCGCTTCACCGGTCAACTGTTAACAGATCAGTGATTCACCTAGCTTTTTCAGCAACTATATATGGGTTTTATATAGTGCTCGACATGAACGATTTTTTTTTCATACTACAAACAGTTATGGAATGAATATTTTTTGTTAGTTCACCTAGTCCGAGATATGAATAATACCCCTGGAATGCATTTTCTTCGAGCTATTCAATGATGTATCACAAGTAGAGGCTACTTTTTTTTATCGCTTGGAGCGCACGAAAGGGACTCCCTATAATGTTCAAAGAACATCGTGCGTTCCCAGGGAGGATAGGGACAGGAGGTAGGTATTGGATTTTTTTTCGAACTTTTGGAGATTATATGTTGTTGGGAATACTTCCACAGGCAATGAATTCCAGAGCCTAGCCGTTCTATGGATGAAGGATTCTTGATAAAGTGCTGTTCGACATCTTTCGAAGTTGACAACGAAAGGATGTGCTGACTGGGCTTGTCTAGTTCGTCTGATTGGTATTGCTAGTGAAGGAATGATAGCAGAGATTTCCGAAGAACATTTCCCGTGGAAGTATCGATAGAAAAGTGGAAGGTCGCCGACCTTTTTACGGTGTTCCAATGATGTCAAAGAGTGAGTGAGTGTGGCGTCACCCATCAGGCGAATGGCTCTTCTCTGGATGGAATCTAAGAGCATCAGCGTATGTTTTGGTGCTGAACCCCATATGTGGGAACAGTATTCTAGAACAGGCCGTATCTGCGCTTTGTAGATCATGATCTGTTGAGGTGTAAAGTAGCTTTTCGCACGGAACAAGAATCCGAGTTTTTGTGAAGCAGCTTTTGCGATGGATCTGACATGACTATCCCATGAAAGAGTGTTGCTGATAGAAATACCGAGCATAGATATGGTGGGCTTGGTGGGGATGGTGGAGCCAGACATTATAATATCGGGCATACTGAGTTCCGCCTTCCTAGAGAAAATGCAGGCTTGAGTTTTGGTGGCGTTGAATTCAACTAGGTTGTTTGTTCCCCAGGCTGTGATTTCAGCAAGATCTTCATTGACAGCATTGACCTGCCTGCGCCGTGAGTTCTTAGTTTCCTGGGAAGAAATGGGAATTCTGGAAGAGAACGCAGTATGGAGGGTACTATCATCTGCAAAGCTGTGGATGGGGCAAGTTGTTACTCTCAACAGATCATTGATATGAAGCAGGAATAATGTTGGTGCCAAAATTGATTCTTGTGGAACTCCGGAATTGATGCAAATGGTATCAGACGATACACCGTCCACCACCACGTGAAGCGATCTGCCCGAAAGAAAACTCGATAAGAGATGGCATAGCTGAGGTGGTAAGCTGTATGATGGTAGTTTGTGAAGGAGTCCTTCGTGCCAAACACGGTCGAATGCTTTCGATATGTCCAACGCGACAGCTA